AATTGTTAAGCACTTTACAAAAAGTCCTACTGAGACTGCAAAAATTCAAGTTATAGCAAGTAAGTTATGCAATTTGAGAAACTGCCTGCTCTAGGATTTCTGAAATTTTTAAAAACAGGGTTACACAGAAGAAACTTTTTTCAAAGTGGTATCAAAACTGGTCTTACAAGAGATTTGCATTCCCAGGCTTCATTCAGAAGAAGTGAAGGCTCTTCAGCTGTTGGCCGCACAGGCCTCTAGAGATCAGGCATTGCTACTACAACTTCATAAATCACAGTCATCCAATGCAGATGATGCCTTGAGAAGGTGCCATTGTACTGCCCAAGGTGTATCCATTAAGGCCTTTTAATAAATACCTTATTCTTTAACTCTGTCTAGCCTCTGTTCTAAGTCAGCCTTCTCAAGGCACCACAGAAACCAAGGAAAAATCTCCTTTCTCATTCTCAACTGCAAAGAACCAATCAGAGTAAGTTTCCCTATCTAACACAGACAAACAATAACAACATTAAGTGTAAATCAGTGGAGATGTAAGGAGAACATACAGTGGAAAATATTATCTGCTAGATTGTCAGCACTCAAAATTCATAAGGCTTAAATTACAGCTGCATCATTTGTAGCGAAATCTGAGCATAAGAAGTTATGCATGCATTCTTTCCAAATGCCATTTTGAAATCCTTACTGATGTAGTGCAAAATGTTTCCTCGAGAAAAGTTGTAGCCTTTTTAATCAAAGAATGTCTCTTCAAGCAGTCAGCCTGTTGTAATGTTGAATTAACATAAACTTCAACATTTTGCCTTCGGCAATGGGGAAGATAAACAGTTTATTCTGCTCACTGAGGTGAATCTTGGGTCTCTAAAGCAAAATGTGTACTCCATAATGAAAACTGCAAATGAAAGGTGCAAATTTTCTGCTACTGATGATATACTCCAGCTCCAGCTCACCTAGGGGAGATACACAATCTCACATCACAGCCCAGGAAATGGGAAATAATGAGTGGTGCACTGCATTAATCAGTGGACATGTCTGTAAAAGTGGAAAGCACATGGATAGTGAAAGAACCAAGAATGTGAACATCTACAGAAAAACTCCAAACCAGTGCCTGTTAGATAAATTTATCACCAACTAATTTTTACAAATAAACACAGACAGAGAGAAGCAGATGGGGATGATGAATCTGGAGAGGGAAAATAACCCAAAGAACAAACCAAAACCAACACCCAAATGGAATCTCTTTCTACATCACATCTTAATAGCAAGTATCACATACCCCATGGCAAAGCAGGCTGGCACAACAACACGCCTGAATTCCTTATGGGGTCATGCACTGGATAACTTCAGATCTCATAACTCTCCTGCTTACTTCACCTCCCAAGGGCTCAGCATGGGAGAAGAAATGGAAATGGATAAACAAGTGCAAACTTGCAGTGTTATTTCAGTATTATCACTAGAAACTGCTGCTTTTGTATTTTAGAACTTATACAGAATGAAAGAAAAAGAGTAGGTTTTCTGAAAGCTTTAAAAGTTAGAAATTTTTCTCTCAAAGTTACTTTGAATATATTTGCATTATTAGCAGCAAATTCAAAGTAACACACTTAATTACTATCTCCAATAAAAAACTACTATTGTTTTGCTGCCTTCCTGTCAAGAACCACCTTGTTCCCTTGCTATTTGCACAACTGGTTGCATAGTCTGTCATCAGTCCCCATGAATATTGACACAGCGATGCAAACAACCAACTTGGAGTAAGCCTGCATGTCAAAAGAAGAAACTAATCATTTTGTATTTGGGAGCTGAAGTCTTGGTAAAGAATATAGAACAAAAAGGTCTGGTTTGGTTTAAGGCAAAATATTCTTTTTTTCTTCCTTGATGTTCAATTACAACTGTCAGCTAGTCTGGACTAAAGCAAAGCCTGTTCTTTTAATGTGTTTTCAGCTGGCAGACAGCATTTTACAGAACAGGACATAAGCGAGAGTCTAGCCAGTACAACGTTAGGTTTAGTTAATGGCTAATCTGGCATTTGTTCAACTATGTATTTCAAACAGCAAGACAGAGAAGGTGCATAAAAAGAAAAAAATATGAAGCTCTATCTTCACCACTTCATTTATGTGGCTGATGGAAATGATAGCCTATCAGAAGTGTCAGCCTTCTAGTGAAAGCTGGCATGTAAATATTTATGCTTTATGCAAGATAGTCAAGCCCTGGCTGGCTGTCCTTTCCCATATTTCTAGCAATAACAGACACTGCAGTGCAGATAAGAAAAAGCTAAAAAGCTTTACATCACAGAATTTAAAACAATTTTAAATGGTCATTAATATGAACCTGAACATGCAAAATGCTAAATGCTTCTAAGGTTAGAGTGACTTTAGTTATCTGGGAATAAAAACTACTCAGTGATACTCAGAAGGACATGGCTTCTTGTGAGATTACCAAGGAAACTATACATGAAATTTTAACATTATATATAAACCATGGCTTGTTTTGCAATAAATTTTGGTTCTTTGCTTGGCTTTTATGGAAAAATGAAAATCAGATTATTCATACTGTGCATGACTGATTTTTTAATATTTTTTCCCCATCAAATAAAACTGCCTGCAGTTGCTTGTCCAGATAGCAAAAGTTGTTGGTAGCAAGTGAAAAATATTTCCATCTGAACATGATGAATGGACCTTGGTACAGGAGCTTAGAGGTATTCAGCAAGTTCCTAGCATTGCAAGCTTGCCAACACATCTGATGCTCAGTGGCAACTGTGTGAACAGTTCCACTGCAAACAGAGAAGTGGTAGTAGAGAGTTTTTCCCCTCCCTAGGGATGGTCACCACCCGCAGGTAGAGGCAAACTAGGGAGACACACAGAGCTACTGCCTGTGTAGGATCTCTGTGGAGAAGTAAGGCAGCTGTCTCCAGGGTTGGATTTTGTATGAATTGCAGTCAGCCTAAAAATTAAGGCCTGACAACCCAATTTACACAGCCAAATGTTCTACACTACCCACAGGAATTCTTTACACACTTCCAGAGGCCAATAAGCAGGCTAATAATTTCTGAATTTGATTATTACACTGTCAAGAACAGAGTAGGATGTGCTTCAAAATGTCATAAGAAACAAAGATTAAGACAACAGCCGGCATGTTCTTCCCCAATGTCAGTGCTATCAATATAATACAACACATCCTAATTATCACTACACCTCACCAGGACAACCACAATTAACAGGGCTGATGAGCCCAATGGTGTTCATCATATAAGACTCTGAGGCTGGGGCAGGTATGTGCTGTGAGAAGACACAGCTGTAGCATTCCTTCTGTCAAGACCAAGACAGTCATGTTACTGTTGCCTCTATCACCTGATTCATGTGTCTTCAAGAACAATGCCTATAAAATATCTAAGTAAAATTCCTTCCCAGTGAAGTGAATAAATAATGAGAATGATCCTTCTTAGCAACAGGAGCCTAAAATAAAATCTGGGGGTTTTTTTTAGATGGTATGGTGTCAGTCTTCAAAGTGGCTAATAAGTTTGTACAACAACTATTTCCCCTCAGGTATTGTGTTTAAAAGTAGAACACAAGCTAAAGGTATATATGTCTAATATTCTTTTACACAATACAAATAAATTGAAAAAAATCAGCCAACTAGACAATAAGCACTATTTAGTAAGCAATTAAATAGTGTCATAAGCTCTAGACTGTAAACCTTCTAGTTTGTGCCTATGCTGAACTTTCTCCTGTTTCCAAGTATCTCTCTTCTGCTGAGAAGGACTCAAAGCTGGACAAATACTCTAGATGCAACCTCAGAGACAAGTCAAGAAGGATAATCAGTGACCTTGATGTGCTGGCTGTGATTTTAGTAGCCCAGCCTGCACAGTCCACCTCAACCACACAGGGAGCACACCAACTCAACTTGCCAACCACAGGAGCGGCATGGCCTTTCTGCAGCTCCTTTCTAGCCCACCTGTCTCAAGACTACACTGAGAGTTAACTGCACTATAGGTGCCCAACCTTGTACCTCTCTTTCCTGTGGAACTTTATGAGGCTCAAGTCATCCTGTTCCTTCAAGATGTTAAGATTGCTCTAACAGACAGCTCTGCATTCACCTGATAATGACAGCTGGACCTGAATAAGGCCGTGTCCCCTGCCATCATCTGGGTGACCCATGAACATATTAGAATGTCTCAGTTCCAGTATCAAACCATGAAGACCACCATCTGTAAATAGGTGCCAGTTAAATCTCAACCAGGGGACCTTTTAAATCTCACCAAACCAGCTGGTTTTTCACCTACCTTTTAGCCCACAAATCCAGTCTCTACCCTCATTAAGGATATTTTCCTCCCCATACTTACCACACTTCTTCCAGTTTCTCCTACAAATACAGAAGTCTATACTGAAAGCAAGAGAAAGGACAGCAACTGCTGTTACTGTTAGGTTCAATTTACCTATTCTTTGTATTATTTCAGACCACAGGAGTGCAAATCAAAGTACAAAAAGGGAGATATAATCCTATATTTAGTTATCAAGACCTATTTATTGCACATAAATCTCAGGATTAAAAAATTGGCCAATGAAGCACCATGTTGCTCCAACAGAACAAAGTGCTATCAGCTTGAACAAAAATCGGATAAATCTGCACCTGTTGTGGTCCAGGACTGGAGGAATACTGCTCTACTGCAGTATAAAGAGACTGCTATTCAGGTGAAGCTATTTGGTAGCATGTAACAGTAGGGAATCCTGATTCTCTGAGGCTCTGTAAGAACTCTCAGAGCAGTTCTGAAGCTGATGAAAAGGTAACTGACATTTGACATATTAACACAGAAAGGGAGATTTGATAAAGCTGCCATAAAAGAAGCAGTATTGCTTACAGTCATCTCCACAGAATTATGCTGTACACTTGAAAGAAATTGAGGACAGAGAAACAACACACAATCTGTAATTAAAAAAAAAAAAAAAAAAAAAAAAAAACCAAAAAAAAAAAACAGAGCCATTTAAGCCATTTATTTAAAGCTTGATCACTACCTGGTCCAGTGGAACTTCCACAAGAGTATCTTCATCTTCTTGCACTTCAGCTGCCCCCCACATTTCAGACCCCTCTTCTCTGGCTTTGTAAATATCTTCACCTATAATGTGAAATATAGAGTGGAAGGAAGTGAAATCCAATGGTGACACAGTGTGGCTCAACTACTGAACTGCACATTCAATTTTGCTTCTGAGAACAGCTTTCTGAGCTGACCCATCATTCCCCATACAGTTCTTTCAAGGAAGTCTTCAGTCTCCCATTATTGACAATTGGTTTTTTGTTTTTCCTTTTAACAACAAATACTTACATACTACACCACCTGGGGAAGAGGGGAGAAAAGGCAAAGGGGAAAGGAACTGAACAAAGTCCTGGATTTGAATTTCCTTCACTCTGGGCAAAGGTCCAGAGTGAATCCAAACTAGGTACATTACAACAACAACATAATGCTTCTGTTTCTACAGTCAATTATAGTATCTTTTAGTAATGAGCATTATAACATACATCTATCAAAAATTTCAGCCTCTGAATCAAAACCAAACATGCTGAATCAGGTCAGGGTTAAAAGTTTAAAACAGTTGGATTAGTTCTACTCCTCAACTCTGGAAACATGCAAGTAGAGCTATGGCTGAAACTTCACATTCACATTAAAAGGCACATACTCCTAGAAAACAAGGATTAAAGGTTATATTTTGCAGATATTTTACACCATTTAGCTTAAGTAATTTCTTTTCCCTAGTATAAGGAGTAACTAGGGGTCTTTGAAGTTTCCAGCACAAGTCTTATGGTGTCAGCTAATTAGGAAAGTGAATATAGGTACATACAGAAAACAACTTCCAAGTGATGCACAATCCTTTGTATTTACCCCTGAACAAAAAACAGCCCAGAAACTAAAGGCACAAGTTACTCAAAATCATCTCTCTCCACTGATCTAGGAAAGATGAAGATGTGTCCATATCCAACATAATATGTAACTACAGTAAGAAAGACAAAAAGTATTTCTGCTGTTTCTGACTGCCTTCTAGTTCTTCATAAAAAGATCTGAACTTGGTAATATCAACTGACCATGCAAATTGGTCTACATTGCTGCGTGCTGCTAAATGAACATCTTTAGTGTAGCACAGAACCACTTTGGTGGGAAAACAATTAATAAAACCCCAAGACCTAGAGAAATCCAGAGTCCATCCACATAACAAGTCAGCACTGACTACTCTGGTAGTTTTCCAGTTACTTTTTCATCACTATGAGAGCCAAGGGAAGAGTTTGCCCCGGGAACAAATTCTGAGGCACCATACCACTGCAAATGGCTGACTGGAGGGGAGGTGTCAGATGGCATTGGACAGTGGCCTGACAGCCCCTGCCCAGAGGACCAGAAATGAAGGCCGTTCTCACAGTCTGAAATGAAGAGGCAGAAATGGGGGTTTCTATGGCACAACACAATGAAATTCCAAAGTGGCACTGCTGGGTGCATCTTAGGAGAGAGATTTCCTGATGGACAGAGCAGCTTGATTACTCAGGCATGCTGGAACCTCCCCACCCTACCAAAAGATCCATATTACTATGTCCTCTGAAAGTACCCCTGTAGGAAAGACCAGAGGGGTCTTAGCATCATTGCTTGGACTCTTATCCTAAATAACTCACACATGTTTTTCAAGACCTCATTTTTGTACTTCACATGAAAATAATAATTTTCTTTTTTAGTTTCCTTTTTTCTTCGGATTTATTAAATACAATGCATGTGCATGGCTGTTCCATTTAAACCAACTAAGGACATTCAATACTTGATGGCAGTATGATAAATCTTGGAAAATCTACCTGTATATATCTCATTACAAATCCCCTTTGACACAAGACTTGTTTGGGTTTTTTGACAAAATCAGCAATAAAAACATGGAGTGGTTAAGGATAACAAAAAAATGCATCTGAACAGATGCTACTTGTACTTTTTCAAATAATCAATGCACTACACATTTCCCATTCTTCTGAGCTCTCTAAGAGACAGAATGTTCTGTTTCTCTTACCTGGTATTATCATTGCCTCTCACCACAGGCACTTGAGTTATAGATTTCCACCATATTCTGAGAGGAAAACATAATGTGTTCCCTAAAAGCCACCATGAAGACTCTCCTATTTCAAGGCTTTCCCCTAAATATGCAAGAAAATAACCTTGCCCTAGATTCCTTGGCTCACTGAACTAAAAAAAGTCAACTCAGTGTCTGAAAGAACTGCATTTAATATCACCATCCTTCCATTTAGGCTCTCTAATAACACCTTTGCCTTCAAGGTCCCCAAGTCTTTCAACCAAAATGGGGACTGTCTGGCCTCTAGAGGTAAAAAGGATTTTGGTGCAAAGGCAATTTTCATCAGGTTTTTACGCCAGGGCAAAAGGAGGAGTACAAGGGAGATGAACATGTGTTAGCCCTGGAGGTCAAATCCACTCAAGAGCTGAGGATTCTCAATTTTGAAGCACCTGTTCTTAGAAGATCAGAGCAGGCTCAGAGATATGCTGAACAACCCAAGGAGACAGACATACAGTATTCTGAAAAAACTTACTCATGGAACCAGGAGGGAGCAGGAGAGAGGAAAGAAGACTGTAAGTTTCAGAAAGGAATCACATTTCTCATTTAAAAGAGAGTGCCCAAAAAGGTAGTAACAGCATGATTTCAACAAGCAAAATCTGAAATCTCTACGGAATTTTCTCCAAGCACTTTCTAGCAGGTGTTTGCTCAGAAACCTGGTCATAAATGAAAAGATATTAGTTGGAAAGAACTCTGCACAACACTGCAGCATCTCTCAGGGATACCACTGTTCATTGTCTTGCACAGAAAGCATTCTCAAGAGAAACAGCACTCCAGTTCTTCCACAGACTGAAAATATTATTTAAGGAAAATAGAACATTTACAACAAAAGGGAAATTAATTATTTACCTCTGCACAAATGTAAGAGAATGGAACACAGATGTCCAAAATACGTGTGCAGTCGGGGAAGCAATTAACACACTTAGGTCTGAAATGTGCCAAAACAGATGAAGAAAAAAATGACACTAACTGAAAAATGGGGAAGTTGTAATACTTGAACAAAAAATTCCAAAGGAAATGGCAAGGAATGCAATTAGTCTTACATTAGGACACACACTGTTGTCTTTTGTTACAAAAAGTGAAAAGAAATACAAAAATTGCAAAATAATTTACATAAAATTAATTTGAATAAATGGAGCATTATGAAAATAGCTTAAAATGTTAACATTGTTAGCATTGCTACTCTACAGCCAAAAGTATTTACATTTTCTGCATGTGAAGTTACAAATATCTGAAGGATGGAAGCTGAGTAAAAAGCCAACACATTTCTTGTTTGTTTAATTCTGTGTCAAGATCTTGTCAAGAGGAGTTTGCAGGCCACATTCATCACAATTATTGGTGGTCTGAGTTACTTCCAAGGAAATGTTTTCAGTTGGGTAACTTTGCCTCATATTTTATAGATAATGCTTTTTGGTTTAGGAAAAAAAAGCATGAAAAAATCTTATTGATGCAATATTTCACATCTCTGTGTCTGAATGATTAGTCAGTTTCTTCACATGTCTCTAAGGGAGAAAAAAACAAGAAAGCATTTTAGAAAATGCCATAAATTACATGAAGAAACATTTTTGCAAGTCTTCATCCTGTATTGTTATGGGCTTCTATTGCAATCTCTATTGAAGCAGAAATATGTGGTGTACCCTGCTGAAAAGAAAAATTCCAGCACTTCCATTAAATGGGACATTCATGACTACTCCAAACAGTTCATACAAAATTGTAGATTAAACATGCTCCTCTTTAATGAGTCAGCTCTGATTTTCTTGTGCCTCAAACTACCTGAGAACTGACCACAGACAGGGCGATGGCAACACTGGGGCAGAAGAGCTCTGAAAGGGGATAAGAAAGGAAGGTATATCTCCCCACAGCATTGCTGGTAAGTATAAACAGAGGATTTATTTCAGTTAGGTTCTCAGTTCTCAATGCCACAGCACGTGCAGCTTCTGTCAAGAAGCCAAGCAAAATATTAATGAAAGTTTTGTGATCTTCTGTGAGGATATTTTCCCATGGTGTCCAGACAAAAATAAGATACCGGAGTTTTTCAAGTTTTGCCAGTCACTGCATGACAACAGACTACCTTGAGCCAAAAATCAGCACTATTTCTTATACTCTCAACAGAGAGAGGGTAACCTAAACATCTTCTGTTATTTCTGATTATCTTAAAGCAGGGTCATGTTCAGCAATTTAGGTAAAAAGGGGGAAAAAGAACCTGCAAAAGGGCAAAGAACAGATAATTCAAAAGGAGCAGCCAGGTGGAGAGAGAGAATATGCAGAGGCTGGAGGATAGAGACACTGAGGGAGATGATGAAGGCACAGTGATGTTAGAAAAAATATGTGGAATGAGGAACTGTATAAGAGCAAATAGAAAGATGAGGAAATAGTGGTGAGAAAAAGGGCAGCAATGAGAGGGGGGGAAAAGCCAAGTCAGCAGGTATCCAAGCCAATTTAAGCTTCCTAAAAGAATCTTCCTTCAGGAAAGCCTGCAAAGAGGAATGCTGTTGGACTACTACCTACCAGCAACTGAATGTCTATGTTCTGATGTTATCACACACACAAAAGTGCAGCCAAAAAAAAAAAAAAAAATAAAAAAACCAAACCAGCAATGAAAAAATTCTCCTTGTTTTCAGGAAAGCAATTTTACTGATTTTTTGTTCATATTTATTTCTTCATCAAACTATACTTATTAACACTCTGGAGAGTGGAAAGAGCTCTTACAGGATTTTTTGGTTTTGCGCTGAATGAAAACTGCAACCATAAGTACTTTCCGCTGGAGTATCTTCAAGAATTGTGCTCTCTTCCCACCTCTTCTCCAGCTCCACAATCCCACAGAGAGAAAGAGTAATGAAATCTCAGGAGAATCCAGATGGCTTAGAGCTCTGAATTCCTTGAAGTCTTATCAGGGTTACCAGGAAAGGGAACATTTGGAGCCTGGTAACAGCCCTGCCAAAGAAAGGTAACTAACTACTGCCTCAAAAAAGCCGTGGACCTACTCAACCTGCCCCAAGTAAATTCAAATTACTTAGGTGTTGAA